TCACATGCATTATGGTCTGCCGCTCCCAGTTGATAATGTTAGTGAAACGGTGCTTACACATTACTTATATTTAAACATTCCTTGTTTCTGCCATTTTTTGTGAGTTTTTTAAAAGGTATCAAGGCGACCCCTGAAACCTGTGTTTCATTCCTCCTTTATTGCCTTGACTCACCATCCTTCACTTGGTGGCTGTGAACTGAGGAGATGAGCTCTGCTGCTGCTCTGACAGGGACTGACCTGTCCTCTCCAATTACCCAGAAAATCCCAGATCAGAAAAATGATCCTTGTTATTGATGCCTGACTCACAAGGCTACTGAAGTAGGAGACAGGCGACAAGGGCAGACAGTGACAGAGATGGTGGGGAAAAGACAAAAGGAGATTACACAGTGACAAAAAAAAAGGAAAATTGAGTACATTTAGTCGAGATGGATGGACAGATAGCAATAGCTGAGCGGTAACAGCAAAGGGACATAGGCAAAGGTAGCAGAGGGAATGTGTAGGTGGTCCAGAGCATGAGTGTTATCAAAAACTCAAAAATACAATGCACAAGGGTTGAAAAGGTCAGTCAAAAGCTCCCTGTTTACGGGTCACTACCCTCACAAACTCTAGGTAGTGACCAAAAGAAATGAGATTGTGGATACAACGGGTTGAAATGAGTTTTGTCTGCAGGGTAGCTGGACTCTCCCTTAGGGTAAGAAGTTCAGTTATCCGGGTAAGACTCTCAATAGAACCACTGCTCCTCCAAATCAAGAGGAGCCAGTTGAGGTGGTTCAGGCATCTTGTAAAGATGCTTTCTGGGCACCTCTCCGTGGAGGTGCTTCGGGCATGTCCAACTGGGGGGAGACCCCGGGGAAGACCCAGAACACGCTGGAGAGACTATGTCTCTCGGTTGGCCTGGGAACACCTTGGAATTCTTCCAGAAGAGTTAGAAGAGGTGGCTGTAGATAGAGATGTCTGGACCTCCCTGCTCAAGCTGCTGCCCTGAGATCTGACTTCAGAACAAGCTGAAGTTGATGGACGGATGGATGGATGGATTTTTTTCTTCTTTTTTTTTTGTCTTTACCTGAAGAAGCACTTATTTTTACTAAGAGCATCATCACAGTAGAATACCAGATTTTGCATACATTTTTCTTTTTGGATGTTTACCCATTTATGGCCTAACATGGGGCAGCTGTGGCTGAGTGGTTAGAGCAGTTGTCCTCTAACGGAAGAGTTACGGGTTCGATTCCACAAGCAGCCACATGCTGAAGTGTCCCTGGGCAAGACACTGAACCCCGCATTGACTCTGATGTGTGTCCCATCGGTGTATGAATCTGATCTAAAACTCTAATTAATCTTTGCATAGATCTAATAAACTGCTGTATGAATGTGTGTGGCGGTAAATGAAGGCACAGATTGTGTTGTAAAGAGTTTTGAGTATCTTGATAAGGCAAGTCTGTAAGTACAGTCGATTTACCGTTTAAGTAAGTAAGTTGTGTTTTGCCATCATTGAATGTTCCCATACAATGGCAAAATTAGTTGTCTACATTTAACCCATCACACCTGAGATACACTCAGGTAGAGCAGTGTGCAGCTATGCAAGTGCCTGGGAAGCAATAAGAGATTAGGTGTCTTGCTGAGAGACACCATGACATGTGGGAATGGCTGGGGATCAAACCTGGGACTTTTGGGTCCTGAGTCGGATGCCCTTCCTCTACCCTCATCTCTGCCCCAAAATATGGTAATGTTAAAATTAACAATTTGCCTTAAACCTAAAAAACTAATTTGCATCTGTTTTTCCAACTGTCTGAAGTCCTTCTGCACAGAAAGCTTACACCTACTGAAACCGGTTATAATAATCTATTATTTGGGTAAATTTACATTATGAAAAAAGTAACTGTCAAGCAGTGAGGATGACTTTGTGGTCCTTTTATTTTTTATAATTTCAATGTAACACCACATTTTTGTCACATAATCATATGACATCAAACAAAACAAAGGATATTAAGAAGTATCAGTTATCTTTCTACTTTGTAGAACAAAAGCTCTATTCTTTCAGTACAGCTCCTCAGACTGAGGAAGTCTTTAGGATGAAAGACAAAACATTTCTACAATTTTTTAACCCATCCAGAGGACCTGACTTAACTCTTTTAGATAGTTCCACCTGGATAATTGAGCATGGATCGGGATACTCTATTGTTTCAGTTTTCGTGCAAAATTTACAACTTGATCTGTTTTAACTCTTCAACCACTGCTCTTTTTTCCTCTGCATTCATTACTGATGCTGCTTCAGTCCCTGAAACCTCTGCCTGTATTAGTACGCAGGAGCTGCTTAGTAGGCATGATGTGACCTGCTCTAAGATTTTAGACCTCGTGGCCCCGCTAAAAATCAGGCGACCAAAGCGGGCACCACACCCCTGGTTGAATGCGACCACCCGTGCAGCCAAACGTCTATGCAGGAGAGCTGAACGCAAGTGGAAAAAGGACAAATTACAGGTTTCTTTTATTATGTTAAAAACGTGTTTGAAAGATTATCCGAGCATCGTTAAATCTGAAAAGAACAAACACTTCTCCCAAATCATTGCTTCAAACAGCACAAAAAGCCAGAGAATGCATTGGCCAACTACTTGCAGGAAAAGTAGTCAAGGTCAGATTCATTGTGAGACCATGGACAGGCACAGGCAGCCCCCTGGGCATTCAGATTCCTGACACCATAAACTGTGCAGTAGACACTTAGCTATGGTTTTCTTGACCAGTGGTGGTCTACAAGACCTTCAACTGAGAAGGACATCTATGAGTATAAACAGACAAATGGCAAGATGAGTCCATCAGTCCCAAAATAATATAAATATATGTAATTGTCCCTAGGTGTGAGTGAGAGAGTGAATGGTTGTTTGTCTCGTTTGTCTCTATGTGGCCCTGTGATGGACTTGCGACCCGTCCAGGGTGTACCCCGCCCCTCGCACAGTGATTGCTGGACATGGGCAAAAGCGACCCCCGTGACCAAAAATGGAATAAACGGGTAAAGATAATGGATGGATGGATGGATGGATGGATGTAGAGGATAGAGTTATTATATATGTTTATAATTTTATACGGGGCACCACACTTATTTTTCTAGGGAGTTGTAATCTTTGGTTTAAAATCAAGTCTCAAAATAATAACTTAATATATTATCTGAGTTCTTTCATACTGTAATCTTCTTTGTATTGAAACACACAATACAACATGTATTTGACATTTATTGAAACAAGTATATCAAAACAGCAAAGGCATAGGTTAATACGACTGGTAATATTGAAAGGAAAAAGGTGATATAAAATAGCTTTTGAACTTTGAGAAGAAATGTTATCTAAATTTAGACTAAGCTTAAAAGACGTTTTGTAACTTATCTGAGATTCATAGACTAAAATAAATTTAAACTAAGGTGGCACTTTGAGTTGGTCTTTGCTGGATGGGAGGACATTTTATTTCCTACCAGATTGTGGCTTCCTCAGTTACCAGGCAGATGCTGAGAGGAAAGTGGCCTCTGAAAAGTGACCTTCTTGGATGAAGTGGAGACCTCCTCCATGCTTGCCATCAGTTACCAAGGCAGATTTTTTCCGGATGCAGCTCCGAGGGTGTCCTGAGCTTCTGGTATTGGTGGACGCTCTCTTCTCCGACACACACGCACTTTGACCCACAGCATGGCAAAGACGACAAAGACACGGACCAAACTTTATTGACCCGTTCAGTTCCGTTGGTAAACCTTGGATGTTCTCTGTCTGCTGGACCCAGTTCTGGAGGTCAGTCTGGGAGGGCAGCAGCTGTGGTCATCATTATCATCATGCTGCTAATGGGACCTGCTGACAAGTCCTGCTAATGCTGCTAACAAGACCATGCTACTAACAGAACCATGCTGCTGAAAGAAACTCACTGCTAACCGAACCACACTGTAGATGTATTTCTTTTCTTTTAAGTTTGGGGCCTTGTTTTTGTATTTTTGCTGCATGCTTTTGTATTTCCATATTTATTTTCTTTTTGGCGAGTGAAGATGGTTCTTCTCGTCCTCAGTATTTCATTGCATTGTTGACCTTGTGTTGATTTGCATATGACATATGAACCAAACCTGAACCTGATCAGCAACCTATTGTATCAAAATAAACATTCACTAAACTTCTTAACAGAGATCCTCTTTATCTTGATTTAATTCTTCAACAAAACAACTGTAATGTCCTCTGTTATTTCTGTATGAAACACTGAACTTCTATTGATACCAGTGTGAAAGTATTTTATTTGGAAAGGTATTTGTACAACATTTTGTTCTTTGTACCATCTCAGCTGTGGCTGAGTGGTTAGAGCGGTCATCCTCAAATGGGAGAGTTGGGGGTTCGAGTCCACCAGCAGTCACATGCTGAAGTTTCCCTGGTCAAGACACTGAACCCCTCATTGCCTCCGATGTGTGTCTCATTTGAATGTGATCTAAAGCTCTGATTATTCATTCAACCTTTACTTATAAAGGTTACAGGTCATTCTTTGTACATATAAAGTAGATTGCTGTATGAATGGGTAAATGACGGCACAGATTGTGTTGTAAAGGAAAGGGAAGAGGGGAGTCTGAGATTGTCATCATTGTATGTATCCATACATTGGCAAAATGAGTTCTCTGCATTTAACCCATCACATGTGAGATACACCCAGGTGGAGCAGTGGGCAGCTATGTAAGAACCCGGGGAGCCATTGGGGATTGGGTGTCTTGCTCAGAGACACCACATGTTGAAAAGGCTGGGAGTCGAACCGCGGCTTTCTGGTCCCAGATTGGCTGCTCTGCTTTTACCCATCTCAGCCCCCAGTCCTTTAGATGAAGGACTTAGTGTCCTTTGGAAGGAAGAAATGTAAAGTGTCCAGATGACCTGACTGAACATTGTTGGATTTTTAAATCTGGATTATTGAGCATGAACTTTGATGAATTAATTATTGTTTTTTATTTTTTTATTTGTTTCTGACCTTTGCTTTGCCTTTTTCCTTATCTCTTTATTCAGGTATGCGCATCCTGGTAACCCTGCTGCTGGACACGCTGCCCATGCTTGGTAACGTGCTGTTACTTTGCTTCTTTGTCTTCTTCATATTTGGAATCGTTGGTGTCCAATTGTGGGCCGGCTTGCTCCGAAACCGATGCTTCGTCAAAGACAACTTCTCCTTGTGAGTTCTGCATTGGCTGTATGTTCTAGTTGGTTCTAACGCTCTATCTATTCAGAATGACTTCAGCATTTGTTGGCCACCACTTGGCTCCGTCATTGCACCTGGTGGTGGATACATTTTCTCCTTCCACTCATCATGATCTGTTACCCTGCAGTGCCTTGAAAACGCAAAAAAAAAAATTAAAGAAAATGAAGAAAATAATAATTGAATATTAAAATAATTACCTCTCCTGTTTTACAGTGCAACACCTACCCACTTGAATACCTAGCACCAACATGTTAGATAAAAATATCCTCTATTCATCTAAATTACTAAAAGAAGCCACACTTGAGGACACAAGAATATATTTAACCGATCTTTACTTGCAAGGACAGACTTTCACTCACAGGCTTACACAGACGCAAGAAGTTCTACATAGTGTGGAGCCCAGTAACGAGAGTCTGCACCGGAAAGTGTGCGAGAATTTATATAATATATGCTTATCAGCTATCACAGCTCACAGACAGTCCATGATGACCTCGGCCTCTCAGCTTTACATGCAAGATCAAACGGCTCCTCTCTGAGAGCGAAATGAACTCTTTGAACTCACACACATGGTTCAACATTAATTTAATATTAGTTAGTGATAAACATCCTTGACCTTGACCCCCCCCTAAAAAAAAAAAACCATCCTGACACAAAACATAAAGGTTTTTTTGCATTCCCTGTCCAGTTCCATTCCAGAAAACATTCATTGCGGAAACTACAAACATTCCTTAAAATCCCTCAGCAATGTGAGGCATCAGTGGACTGCTTGTTTTACTATAACACTGACCACCAGGGTCTCAAGTAAACACATTGACAGGGTTTGGTACCACTGTCTTAATACAACTGTAACAGAAAACAGTGGTTCTAAACTGCTCTCAAAGTAACTTTAAGCAATGAACTTACAGAATGGGGTCATGATCTGAAACTCGGTGAGGTTAGTGACTCAAAGTCTCATTGCAGTGATAAATACAGAACAGAGACAGGTCCTGGAATAATGAGGAAGATCCTGCATGACCCATTCTTCAGTACTGTATATGGAACATGGACACCCATGACTTATTCATGTTCCCAGTGTCACCTGGGGTTCATTACTCTCTATAGGATTTATGACACCTCATATCTGTAATTTAAGTTCATGCATTATGCCTTTGGTGAGCAGATGTATTTTTTGTCAGCATTGTCAGCCTTTTTTTGTTGCAAACTTATGGTACCTGTGTGGTTTGCATTTCTGTATTGCATAAATGACTCAACGTTTAGGCTTGACACTATATGCTAATGCATCTCTTTTAATGGCAGCTTTCACTTCTCTCACACATCACTCAGACATATTCTAGTGCGTTAGTAACATCTGCCAGCTGGACCGATGGCTTCTTTAAAAAAAGATGATTAAGAATGTTTGAGATCACTCTGCAGAAGGTTCATCACACATGGTATGTTGGGTTTTGATAAATGGGCAGAGTGGCAAACTGAGCTCATCAGGAACATAAGTGCTCTTGCACATCATCCCAATGTGTGAAACAGCTTTTGAGAAAGATAGTGTGAAGTGGTCCTGAAGTGCAAAGGGACTGCTTGGGTCCCACTATATGGGAGACACATTTACAATTAATAAAACTCGCCAGCTAAAAGAGTGCTGACAGATGAGCCAGATATAAAGCAATCATTAAACACGCAGACTCTTCCAGATGGAGAAGTGCTCAGTGACAGATACACCAAGAGGTGCTATTGCTGCCAAATATCTCTTTGCATTTAATTCGCTCAATGCACATATAGATCTCCACAGGTTTCTGGGATTTTTACGTTCAAACATTCATAACTGGCTTTTCTAAAATTCTGCTATCCTCTTGAATGAGTGTTAATCAGTTAAATCAGCTTATGAGGTGTACAATGCAATTAATAGCTGCAGAATGTGGGGTTTTGAGGTTCATCAATTTTATAATTGGCACAAAAGGCAGAATCGTTGTGCAAAATTTTAATGATCAATAATTTTTAACAGTTTCATCCTGGCCAAAACCCGAGGCTGCTGTTTAAAATGATTAAAGGGGATTCTTCTTGTTGAGGGGGCTCATCTGGGATTTGCAACTGGGACCTCTTGCAGGTTGAATGCACCCAGGATCTCTCATTGAATCCATCCAGAGGACCTGACTTCACTGAGGGTTACATTTTTACTAGAAATACCCATATTTCAAGATGTCTTCTAACATGTTACAGTGTTATTATTGTATCAATATAACTGGAAAAATGCATTTTGTACAAATCATTTTTACGTAAAATGACCAATGACTTTTGTTACACATTCATAACTCATGTTTACATTAACTCAAGAACCGCTGCCATAAGTTTCTTTCTGTAAATGCAGTTTAAAACTGACAAAAGGTACATATCTTTACAATATGTTAAGATGAATATTTAAAATATGTCTAATTTATTTCTAAAGCTATTCTTCAAAAGGGTCAAATTACAAACAAGTCCAGTGTAAATATTGAAAATGCTGTCTTGCAAAGCCTTAAAATCTTATCAGACTAGTTTATTTCAAAATGTTGTAGCTTTATACAGTTTAATTCTTTCATGTTTAATTAAGCCGATTCATTAAAAGTTGCCAAGTTACGGAAACTAATGTATCACGTGGATTTTTACACACTTGTTGAAGGCAGACATATAATGATAGTCTCAATCTGTACGGTACGTCTGTAAACTTTTGTCCCAAATATATCTCCTGATCCTCTCAAGATAATTTAACAAAACCATACGCAAATGTTTCATCACTCGACAGAGTTGCATTTAGTTTTCATCACCCCATGTTCAAGGTCATTGTTGCAAATCAAGGTCAGCAGTTATACAAGGTCTTTGCTTGTCTGGACCATTGCTACAGATTGCTATACTGCTGCTGCTGTATAATAGTTTGCTGATGAGCATATGATGTGTTTTAAGCGGTACTCTTGTTCAAATTAGAACCAGTGTCCTATGAGCATAGATTAGGACAGTAGAAGCAAAGAAAGTCTAGGAAGTGACCACTAGCAGTGCCATACTCAAGACAAGGTGACTAATCATTTCAGGTAATTTATCTAAAAACAGTTTAGGAAAGACAAAAAAGATCAGGACAAGACAAATGCAGTACAAGAAAAAACTTATCATTCTAACATTGTCTGATGCTAATTAGCCAATAACCCTTACATTGTTTTCTTTTCTACCCCCTCAAGCCCTCTGTCTGTGGAGCTAGGAAAATACTTCCACACTGAAAATGATGATGAGAACCCTTTCATCTGTTCCATGCCAAGAGACAATGGCATGAGGGACTGTGGTTCAATACCCAAGCTGTACGATGAGGGAGGTCAGCAGTGCAACCTAGATATTGAATCGTACAACAGCACGGACAACACCACATGCGTCAACTGGAACCAGTACTACATCAACTGCTCCGCTGGTCTTATCAACCCCTTTAAGGGAGCGATAAACTTTGACAACATCTGCTATGCATGGATTGCCATCTTTCAGGTGAGCAGCCACTGGACTGAAAAAGCAGCATGATATCAAGAAAACTGAGTTAGCATTTTCTGCAGTGGGAAACTTTCTGGCTGGTTCATGAATCAGACATGCAATATCAAATTTAAGGAAGAATAACAGAACTACTAGCACAGTCATGGATTGGTGCATCCGAGGAGCAGGGCTTACACCATAAGCAGGTCACATCCATCCCACTAGACTGCAGGCTCTGTTTTTGTTATCTGAACCCAGATCACCAGGAAAGGCTTTTCTAGTAGTATTAATCTATCTTAGTTCAGCTGCTGGAGGGGGTGGAGGATGAATCCTGCCAAAAGTCAGAACTTTCAGACAAAATGTTGGATAATAGTTTTCAGCTGAATGTTGGTGTCTAAAATTATCTGGTCAGTTTCAATTTTAATCCTATTGTTCTTGTTTATTGTCTTCATGTACTTTACTACCCTCGTTTCTTTTTTAGGTGATTACTCTAGAGGGATGGGTGGACATCATGTACTTTGTGATGGACGCTCACTCTTTCTACAACTTCATCTACTTCATTCTACTCATCATTGTAAGTAACACATCTTAATAGCAGTGGCTGTATGTCAGTGTTTGACTGCTGATGGTTGAGCAAAATGGTCAGTTGATAAGCAGGGCAATGGGTGGACATCAAACAAAACTGTGTGGATAATGTCTTCTTATTCTCCTCATCTATAGATCGGTTCATTCTTTATGATCAACCTGTGCCTGGTGGTCATTGCTACTCAGTTCTCAGAGACCAAGCAGAGGGAGAGTCAGCTGATGAAGGAGCAACGAGTGCGCTTCATGTCAAATGCTAGTACTCTGGCTTCTGTCTCAGAGCCAGGGTCCTGCTATGATGAGCTGCTCAAGTATTTAGTTCACATTATTCAAAAGGGAGCCAAGCAAGTGGCTCATGCCTGCAGGTTTTTAGCTCGTCGTGCAGGGCTCAACGTAGTCACCTCATCACCACTTACAGAGCCCCAACAAAGCCAGAGCCAGAGGAGGAGGAGGAGGAAGTCCTCCAGGCAGGGCTCTGTGTCAGTTCATCACCACCATCATCATCATCATCTCCATCACTACAATCTAGGGAATGGCAGTGTGACGGATGGAGGGAGCTTCAGGTGTCTGGAAGGACGAGATCTTGAAGCTGGAGGTCATAGCAACAATGAAGAGTTCCCCAGAGCCGTCACTGGCAGTGGGCGTACTGCTTTGGCACTGCCATCTTCTATGACAGCAACAACCTCTGACTCAAACCTTGCCACTTTGTCTGATAACACTGGGGAAGATGCCAGTTCACCTTCATGTTGTAGTCCACTCAGCACAGAAGCTCCTCGTTGCAGTTTCTTTCCCATCAGTAGAGGAATGACTCCAGTCACCTACTTGACTCCAGCTCCCAAATCCAGAGTCATGAAGAGGAACTCTGTGCCATTTGCTGCTCCTGCACCCAAGAACTACCCCACCCTCCAGGCTCGAGCCTTAGCAGAATCCAGACGAGGAAGTATCGCTGCCAGCACACTAACAAATATTAGTTTTAACCTCAATATCCCACCAATGCCTTTGGAGAGACGACCATCAAGCCTGGTGGACATGCATACAGGTAATCACACAACAACCTACAAAAGTTGAACTTACAAATGTGAATCCAGTCAAAGACATAGGAAGGGTTTGATTAGCTATTTTAGCTAATATCTGGATTGAGACTTTATTTGAATGGTTCACTCAAGGGATTCTCCAAAATGTCTTGAAATGTTCCATGGGATTCTTAATTTCTCATTAAGATTCATTAATTTCACGTGTTGCAGTCTCACCGTCTTGTTGCTTGAATTTTAAACATAATCAAAAAGTTTGTGCAACATATTTTATTTCAAAGTATTTGTAGAAATGTTTCAGACATTTTAAATCCTTCTCGAATTTATCTGAATTTAGTTGTTGTACCTCTGGATTGCTAAAGCTGTATTTTGATACCTGCATTGATCAACTCTCTTTAGAAAGCCAGTGAGAAATAATACTTAATTAAAAACTGGTCCAAATCTGCAAATAGTTATTAAAAAAAAAATCACTCAAGTAAATTTAATCATACATTTAACAAAGACTACCAAGGAGGTTTTGGGTTGCAAAATAGTATGCACAACAGTTTTGTAATTGGTGCTTAGAAAAAGGCTGTGATTTTTTTTTTACTGGTCATGGAATACACAGCCACACAATTCACTGGTTGCTTGGCCACTTAAACTCAGAGTTTATTGGGATTGTACTAGAAAATTTAGCTATTTTCTAACAATTTTGATTAACCAACTATTCTCCAACAGTTACACCCCAGATGGATAATCGTTTTACTAAGCACCAATAGTGCTGACTGTGCTAAATTAAATTTATTGCAATCAAAAGGAAGGCTGGAATTACTACTTTACTCATTCAATTTGTCGAGTGGTGGCACAGAGGTTAGAAAAGATGGGCCCATGATTGGAAAGTTGCAGGTTCAACTCCCCAGACAGACAACATCAAAATGTGGGTGGAAAAGATGAAGCACCCACACCTGCCTCCACCTTCACTTGCCCCACTCTGGGCCCTTGAGCAAGGCCCTTAACCCCCACCATATGCTCCCCCCCCAAAAAAAAAAAACAGGTCTCTTTTGAAAATGAGTTCTCCTGACTCAATGAGAATACCTGCATAAATAAAGGGTAAATGAAAACAAAATGTATTGATGCTACTGGAGTTCCAGTTTTGCTTTTTGGCACTTGAAGCAGTGTGGTTAAATCAAAACTATGGTAAATACATTCATAAAGCCAATCCTGAGAACATGATTGGTGTCTGTTGGACGTTCCAAAGCTACAAACTGAAACAAAGTCTGAAAGAAACATGTTTTCCATGAGTCACATGTTGCTAAGTACCTTTACAAAATGGTAATCCAACATGTCTGAAACTACAGCCAGTTTAGACATTTTTCATAGTTTTAATCGGGCTCAGGAAAAGTTCAGCCAGTTGTGTTCACGTTGCACTGATGGTGAAAAAGTTGACTGGCAGATAGACAGGCCACAACACCATGTACAGAAACAAGGAATTATTAAAACAGCAACACTTCCTTTAACACACACAACTGTGTAAAATGTTACAATCATAAAAATGTTCTTTGTCTCAGATTCCATCTAAACTTCCTTTCTCATTTGGATGCAGCTCAGCTCTCATGTCAACTGTCGGCCCGTGACCTTAGCACCACTAGTAGTGCCATGGATAAGGTTGCTCCAACATTAGACCTTGAAAACTGCCCCTACTGCGCCAAAGGCCTGGCCAGCAAATCAGGTGGGGTCACCGAGGGCAACGAGAACCCAGGCGACTCTGACAGTGATGGAGTTTATGAGATCAGCCAGGATTTCCATCCCAGGGACAGGAGGGACAGCAGACAGCCCAAGAAGAAGAGCCGGAGGTTGGGCAAAACCGCTTCCAGCGTTGTCCACTTCTGGAGGCTGGTGTGTGACACCTTCAGGAAGATTGTGGATAGCAAGTATTTTGGAAGAGGGATTATGATCGCCATTCTGATTAACACTCTGAGCATGGGGATCGAGTACCATGAACAGGTGAGTCCAAATGTACTCTACTGAATGGATCATTTGGATAGCTTTGTACTGTATGTGTGTAGCTGCTTTGATATGGTGCTTGGCTGAAATAGCAAACTTGAAGGCCAACAATAAATACTGCAGAAATATTGACTACCGGCAGACAGACAAAACATATTGACAAATTGTCCAAAGGTAACAGTTTAAGATCTTTGCATGTGTGTTATCCTGTGTAACTGGATGAGCAACACTGCTCCCATATGCCCAACTGGTGTCCCTATTGTCTCTCTGGTCTCACTGGTTTACGTAATTCTGGGGAGAGCTGTGGCTGAGTGGTTAGCACAGCTGTCCTTCAATGGGAGAGTTGGATGTTTGATTCCACCAGCTGACACATGTTGAAGTGTCGCTGGGCAAGACACTGAACCCCTCATTGCCTCCGATGTGCGTTTAAGTGTATGAATGTGATCTAAAGCACTGATTAGTTTCTACAGATTCAAATTATCTGTGTAAAGATCTAGTATAGTGCTGTATGAATGGATACATGAGGACACAGATTGTATTGTAAAGCACTTTGAGTATATTGATAGAAAGGTACTATATAAGCACAGTCCATTTACCATTTACCATAATTACAACCATTTGGGAACAAAAACTGGGAAGACAGTGTGTGAGTCAGAGGATATACTGTAGAAAAGGGAAAAATGTAGTGGGTACATTTACCAACCGAGTAACACATTTTCTATGGCAACAGTTTCATGTCTGTTTGCATGTTCAAACCATACATGTACAACTGTGGTGATGTGTTTGTCTACTCAAATTTCACATGAAAGCCATATTTTGAGGCTTTTTTTCCTCCAAAATTGTTAATTTTACATGTTTGAATGATTAAACATCAAGGATCGGCTCTGAGCCCCTTCTTGTTTGCTCTGGTGATGGACCAATTAACAGATGAGGTCAGGCAGGAATTCCCGTGGGCTATGATGTTTGCAGATGACATTGTGATCTGTGGTGAGAACAGGGAACCAGTGGAAGAGAACTTGGAGAGGTGGAGGTATGCACTTGAAAGAAGAGAAATGAAAGTCAGCCGTAGTAAGACAGAGTACATGTGTGTGAATGAGAGTGAGGCCGGTGGAACAATGAGGCTACAAGGAGCAGAGGTCACAAAGGTGCAGGACGTCAAGGACTTGGGGTCCACTGTCCAGGAAAATGTGGAGTGTGGTAAAGAAGTGAAAAAGAGAGTCTAGGCAGGATGGAGTGGATGGAGAAAAGTTTCATGAGTAATTTGTGACATAAAAGTGTCAGCAAAGGTCAAATGAAATGTTTACAAGATATTTGTAAGATCAGCTATGTTGTATGGTCTGGAGACAGAGACATTTACAAAAAGACAGGAGAAAGAACTGGAAGTAGCAGAAATGAAGATGCTGAGGTTCTCCTTAGGAGTGACAAGGATTGAGAAGATAATGAATGAAATCTTCAGAGGTACAGCACAGGTTGAACAACTGGAAGATAAAGTTAGAGAGGCCAGACTGTTTGGACATGTACGGAGGAGGGACAGTGGGTATATTGTTAGAAGGATGTTAGAAATGCAGGTGCAAGGAAAAGACAAAGAGGAGATACGGATGCAGATAGAGAGGACATGGAGGTAGTTGGAGTGAGGACAGAGGATGCAGAGGACAGAGTGAGATGGAGGAGGATGACTCGTTGTGGAGACCCCTGAAGAGAAAAAAGCTGAAAGAAGAAGAAGAAAGATTAAACGTACAACTTCAGTAACGTTTATTAAGCATGAATTGGGTGCACACATTTGAATTTATTGTACATTTATTTAACTTACACATCGGCAAAAATATACATACAGGCTCACATAAACATTTATTCATGTAAAGCCTTTTAAAGTTGCTGAGGGTTTTAGGAGGTCAGTAAATCTGATGAGACCAAGGTCTGTTGACTTTTTATTAGTGGTCATGAATGACTGCAGCTGCTAGTTTTTTGTATATTTTGGTTTGAAAGCCTTTTATAGACAAATCAATCCTTATTGGTTAATTTCATATGAATGGCGATTAGGTAGGACAGTCAGGGACAAAATTTGCAGCGCCCACGTGGACAAGCCAAATGTGTTCTGAGTAAAAGTTTTAGAGTCAGATGAGACAACAACAGCTCCTTGCAACAATGACAACAAGTATGCTTTGAGGCATCTAAGGGAGGCGGATCCACCTGTGGAGCATGGTGGTGGGAGCATCATGCTATGATAGAAGGACATTGTGCAAAATGAGTAGAATAATAAAGAACTACTTTAAAATTCTTAAACTTCAAAATCAACAGCTAGATTAAATGCTTTTTTCTATATTTACAAGGCTAAATAATGTGTATTTTTCTAGTTTGTTCAAGATTTAACCTTGAATTGAACTGTATTAATTTATAAAAACAATGTTTCTGCAGCTCAACTCATTTTCTATGATTTTTATATAGGGGATATAAAAGTGCAGGTTTCAGTGCTGAGGTCTGATCCAGTGGATTGTTACGTAATCTGAGTGAAGTGGCTCCAGCGTTGTTTTTGTTGCGCATGTAGGTGTGTAAGCAGCAGAGAGAGTTTAGCCAGGTTTTACGGGTTACTTTAGGTCACTGACCCGGTTCCTATAAACAAACCCAGATGCTGAGCTGCACCCGTGTACAAGCACACTCAGAAAAATTAGTTTTATAGCTTTTTTCCATTCTCTTTTTTTCTTTTGTGCTCTAGCTCTGATTCCTTTATTTAGCTCTCTTTTTGCAAATGTTTATGAAGTATTCAAGCTGTTCTCATCCATTTTTCTTCTGTACGCTTTTCAGCATCTTTCTCATTCCAGAATTGTTGTAATATTTCAACAAATCATTCAAAACATTCAGCTCTTTCAGGACATTCCTGCTATGACTTTTGTTATTGATACAACTTTAGCTTTTTGTCATATTTAGCCTTTTCTGCCATTTTTTGTCATATAAATTGAATTGAGCTCATTTTTGTGCTTCTCCCAACTTATTTCTGCTAATTTCAGCTTGTTATGCTCCTTTCAGATACTTTCTGCAAGTTTCAGCTTTTTCTACCTTTTCAGCTATGATTTAGCTGTTTTGTGTTAATTTCAGCTTGTTATGCTTCTTTCAGCTTCTTTCTGCTAACTTCAATATTTTTGTGCTTCTTCTAACTTATTTCTGCTAATTTCAGCTTTTTATGCTCCTGTCAGTTTATTTCTGCGTGTCAGCTTTTTCTACTATTTCAGCTACAATTTAGCTGTTTTTACGCTAATTTTAGCCTTTTCAGCGTCCACATTTTTTGCACTCAAACTTTTTTCAGCAGAATTGAGCTCTTTCTGTTATTTGAAGCTTCCTTCAGATTTGTTAGCTACTTTTCAGCTGTTTTGGGCTATTTTAAGATAATTTCCACTTTTTTTGTGGTCAATTCTGCTTCTTTCAGTCTAATTGGACAAACATGTTCTTTATGCTTTCTTTAGCAGAACAAGCTTTAATTTAACAATTTAAGCTATTAAAAAAGAAGCTTAAATTGAGCAATTTAAGCTTGTTCTACCTTTACACCTACCATTTTAGCATTTTTAAGCAAATTTCAGCTGTTTTCAGATTGTCAGGTTTCTGACAGGGAGAGAACCCAATGTGCAGGCAGAGGCTCAGATGCAGGAGTTACAAAAATAAATACTTTTTATAATAATAAATTAAAGGGCTGACGTGGCAGCATAAACTCACAAAAAACAGAATCAGAACGGGATCAAGGCAGGATCAGACAGGACAAGGCTATACCCAACGACGACGCGACAACAAACAAGACAAACAGACAGACTATATACACAGACAAGACAGGACGTGATTACAAACAGCTAGCACGAGACAAGGGTGAAATTAATTGGATAAATAATGAAAGACACAAGGAAATACAGACAAGGAAGACCCACAGATGGCGCCATCCTTACACAGATAAATTCAAAATTGTATGGTTATTTTTGCTCATTTTAGTTTGTTGTGCTCCTTTCATCTTTTTCTGCTATTTCAGCTACTATTTAGCAGTTTTATGCTCATTTTAGCTTTTTTAAAATCTAATTCCACTTTTTTTTTTTTTTAGCTCATTTCAGCTCTTTCTGCTTCCTTCTGGCAGTTTAAGATTATTTCTGTCTTTTCAGCTTGTTTTCGCTAATTTCAGTTTCTTTTAGCTAAATTCCTAATTTTTGTGCTAGTTTCTGCTTTTTTAAACTTAATTCAGGAAATATGTGTTATTTCTGCTTTCTTCTGCTAATTAAAGCTTGTTCTTCCTTTCAGCTACACTTTAGCATGCGTTTTTAGATAACTTCAGCTGCTTTTCAGCACTTCTTCTGCTGTTATTCAGCAATAAGCATCCACACTGTATTTTTTACAGGAAACACTATTTCTCTAGTTTTCTTTAATTCAACTTTATCTTTTGTTTTCCACCTAACGGGACGTTCACGTCTTTGCGCGCTCTCTTTGTTTGGGTATCACAGATCCCTCTAGTCTCCAGACAGGCTGTTAAAAGCTTTAGTGAGACCCTTCACTGATTCAAGCCCATCAAAGATCATGAAGCTTTAGCTGCGTCTGTAACGCTGTCCACATGGAAGAGAGGCGGGGCTTTTCCAAGCTTCCTGCAGCCATGTTTTCAAGGAGACTATATGTACTCACTGTGTTTTCAGCTTTAACAAAAACCCCATCTCTAATGGTTTAATTTGTTTTATGTGTTGCTGCCATGCTGGTGTGTCAAACTCAAAGAGACGCTCTTTTTACATCGTTCATCAGCTTCTTTCCCCGTCGATGCAAACAGAGACTGGTCCAGAGGTCAGAACGGGGGTGGGCAAACTTTCAGACTTGCGGGCCACACTGAGTTCTAAAATTGGAGCGAAGGACCGGGCCAGGAACAGATGGATGGAGTGTTTGTGTGATGTTACACCCCAGCGCAATAACAGCCACCGGGACACTGTTAATTATGGGCGATTCCACCTTCTGCACCTCTCAAGCAGCCACTAAGTCAGGATTAC